TTTGCCGTGAGTTTGGTCTAAATAATAAATTAAGTATGATAAAATATTTGAATTTTTAAGAATTAAATGTGATTGACTAAGTACAAGAATGTCATCTTAAATTACGGTTTGAAGCCCAAATAGACCAAATGATCCAACGTTTCACAAAAATGTGAGAAAACAATAAATTATATATAGACACTCAGTTTAATAGTTTGTTTTAGTTGTTGTTCAGTTAAAAACTAATGCTGTCCAATGTAACAGTCCTGTAAAAAATGCAATAAATCCTACATTAATGAAAAGAATAAAGAAACAAGTTGTGTTTTCCTTCTCTAACTAATTAATCACCTTTAAATGTGAAAAGGTCGAGGTTCTGTTTACTGCAGGCCAAGCATATATATTTATCTTTACTTTGCAGAATATACTTTACTCATGTACGAAAGTAAATTTTTAACACTTGTGGTATTTGTACTTTTAAATGATCTGCATACTTCAGCTGCAGATGTGTTTGTGTATTTTATTGTGGGAGTCAGTCTCTGCCTGTGAGTCACAACCCGGGGACGCGTCCTCTTTCTGCGCATGCGCATCCGGACCCTGAGCACCATGTCGGAGCGCAGAGATGAGACGGAGGAGGTGAAAACTCTCAGATGAGGAGGTGAACGAGCAGGTAAACACTCCCGCGCTCCTCAGCACGGGTCGAACTGTGTCACGCTCCCCGCGTCACTCACCACAACACACGACACGAGGCGCGCGGCTCAACTTTCCCCCAGGAAGTCAGGCTAAGCTAACGGCTAGCCGCGGAGCTAACGTCAGCTGGCAGCTCGCTGTCTGTGTGGAGCCACCTGACAACCGCTCACATGACTTCACAGAGCAGCTCAGCTACAAGGGTTCATGTCCCGTGTGTGTCCGTGTTTCAGGGGTCGTTGGTGCCGCTGGAGAGTCACAGAGGGGCTGGTTACACCACAACAACAACAACAACACTACAACAACAACACTACAACAACACAACATGTTTGCTAAGAAGAAGAGAGCAGCTCAGCCCAGAGGCCAGGGCGCTGCTGCAGCCAAACAGGTAACACATCTGTAACACATCTGCTGTGATAACTAACATCTGTAACACATCTGATGAGATAACAACTAACATCTGTAACACATCTGATGAGATAACAACTCACATCTGTTACACATCTGCTGAGATAACAAGAACATCTGTAACACATCTGCTGAGATAACAACTAACATCTGTAACACATC